AAAAAAAAAAAAAAAAAAAAAGCACAAACTCTGAAGCCAGCCTGCCTGGAGTTTAGTATCAGCTCTGAGACTTGCTAGCATGTGCTTTGGGGCAACGTACTTGACCCCTTGTGCCACATTTTTTCCCTCGTCTCTAAAATGGAGTTAATAAATAGTACCTGCATCTTAGAGGCCTTTAATGATTAAATAAACAAACACATGGATTAAATACACAAATACGTATGGAATAGTTCTTAGAATATCACCTGGCACGTAGTAAGTACTGTTAAGAATAGATGTCATTAGTGGTAATTCCAATATCAATTTGCATCTGAATTTGAGTCTGAATCTGAAACCTAGAACCAGTCATTGGTACTGGTCAGAAGTCAGACTTAACAACCCAAGATTTCTAGTCTGAGCTCAGACAAGGTCCTGGTAAAGACCCTCAGATAAATTTTTAAACTTTTCACACTTTTTCTGCTTGGTTTTCCCTAGTAACATAAAGAATATGCACAAGAAAATGGAAAGCAGAGTGTGCTTTGGAGAGTGTAGAAATCAGATCATTGGGGTGGTTTATAATCTATATTGTTATCTGGGGCAGAAAGCTTCATCCTGTGCTTCACAGCCTTACCTGGTTAAACTCTGGGTCTCAGCCAATTTCCTGACACATGCTGGGTGGCAAAGGAAAAGTCAACCCTCCCAGGAAAACAGAGACTGGGCGGGGTTCTGGAGGCGGGAATGGGGTGGGGAGTAGATATAAACTTTGGTATCTGGGCATCCCCTTGAAACAAAGGTATAGAGGAAATGAAAGCATGATTCCCATTTCCCTTACATCTAGCCATCCAGGTTTGGTTAAAACCTATCTTTCCCATTCTTAGGGTTCGTTATAGGTTTTTATATTTACCTTCTCATTGATGTCTGTAGCCTTCAAAACCACCTCTTCCATTATTAGTCTACAGGCCGCTTCGACAAATTTTTCTCCTGCTTTTGCATCTGTTGTGGGGCCATTCAGTATGACTCCATCCACAAAAACAGTGTTCTTCCTCCTGGGAACCATCTCTTGTGGATCGATATCTCCTGGAAACACACAATCAAACCGTGTTTGAGAGATAACCTAATTCGAGCACAGAACAAAACACAGGGGAAATGGCTCACCGTCCCACCTTCAAAGGGCATACCTTCTTTTAATACATTTGAGGCATTGAAGCCGACAGCTTCTTATGGTGCCCAATGGCATGACAGAGTTAAAGAAAGAAAGTTCCATTTTCCATTCCTGCAGCATCTTATTTAGCATCAGGGAGCGTGGAGGAGCTCAAGCAACATAAATTCAACCCATTTTACTCACTCATACAAATATCTTTCAGACACACGTACAAAAAGATCTTTGTAAACACAAGCCCATGTCTATTTCGTGGGCACACACTCTCTTGTAATTTAAGGATGACCATACATTTCCTTTTCATAAGTCATTCCTAAAGAAGAAGAAGTAATGTCAACATGCCTTTTCTCTTAACTTTACGTTTTAAGCCTGTGATTAAATGCCCTTCTGCCTTGTCTATGAAACCCCTCGTTAAACCCACTTGGCCATTTCCTACTGAGAGAAGGAGAAAAGAATGTGAGCAGTGTCGCAATTCCTGTAAACCCGTATTTATAACACCTTTAAACTTTTCAAACTTGCAATTTTGTCAGAAGGATGGAGCAGGACATTTTCAGGACTGGACAGTTGCCAGTCAGTGACTAAAGGTTAAAAGTCAACATGGAAATCTATATCTGAGAATAAAGGTTACTGCCTACCCAAAATAGCCCTCCTCCAAAATAATTCTGGCAACTTAATCCAGATATTCAACCAATATCTGCCTCAAGCTCTGACTCGATTGTGTTCTCTTTTTCTAACCACGATCTCTTTCCTCCTTATAATGTATATGTTCACTGAGTTGTGGAAACTTAGAGAAACAATTTTTAAAAGTATTTTTCAGCGCCTCAGCTAGCACAGCACCTCACTTATTCTTTGTAAATACACCTTAAATATGCTGACGGTCTGTATTTAAAACATTTGTATACTTATTGAGGGTTCTAACTGTATTAACAGTTATTATGCCCTGGAGCCCATCTTCTCCTCGCAGTTAAATGTTTGGTACAATTCCGTGGTTTCCTAAACCCTTTAATTCTATGACTGGCAAACTCAAATGGTGTCCACGAAGACAGATAAAAACGTCACCAGAAGATTCCCCAATTTGAGAAAGATAGAATCTGTAGCAAAGGATCGATCTTTTATCCTCACACCCAAGGGCAAACCATGCAGAGCTCCCATGATGAATTTCAGTTCCATCCTTCACTTTCACTTATCTTTCACTTGAAAAGATGTATTTAACTTGGTTTAGGACAAATGGTGAAGCCCTGGAGTTGAGCTTTTGGATGGAAATGCTCTATACCTAAAGGCACTTTCCTCCCCCCAAATTTTAGGTCGTAAAAATAAATTGGAAAATTATTCAGGGAACTCTGGTTATGTAAGTGGGCAGTGCTATTATTAAGCACATGGAAAAAGTTCGATTTTTTTCTAACCTCATTAGTAGGATTTCAGGTTTTTATTGCCCAGGGAATAGCAACCACTCTGTAGGCCTCTCAGAGTTTCTCTCTCTCTCTCTCTCTCTCTAACACACACACACACACACACACACACACACACACACACATACACACACACTAAAAAATGTCAAACACCCACTTGAAACCAGAATAGCAGAGAAACTGAAATTAAAATTGTCTGTTTCTCCACAGCCATCAATTACAGAAATCCCCCATAATTCAAACAATTATATAGGAGAAAATACTACTTTAAAAAAACTAAATAGAATTGGGTATAGAGTATGCGTCTTTTCTTGATAGATATGTTTTATTTCTATTACCAGATGTGATCATGTCACTATTTCCCCACTACATTTGCCCAACTGGAAAAGACCCTCCGGAGACTGAACAGTCAGTCAAGCTGTGATCTTCTGGGGATGCACACCCAGGACCTCCCATCTAACTGCTACAGTTGATAGCAGTAAATAATGAAATTGTTCAATGGGAGGAGTGTTCCATGAAGAAGATACCTAGAATCTGTCTGCTCTTCATTCCCCCCTCCCTTATCACCATCAAACACTTGGGTTAGCCTTTCAACTAACCCCCAGCTGCCACCCTGCCCTATGTACTGTGTAGACAATTCTCAACACAGTAGCTCCTATGTGTCTTTGAAAAGATGGCAGATCACATGATGACTCCTCTATTCAAACCATTCAATGACCCCTTATCTCATCAAATTAAAAGTCAAAGTCCCAATAATGACCTCTAAGGCTTTAAATGAACTCCTCCCCCATTAGCTCTTGGAACTCAAACCTCATCTCTTATTCCTGCCCTCAAAGCTCACCGCGTTTCACCCACTTTCTCCTCTTCACTCTTCCTCGACTCTTCCCTTACACACCAGCTTCTGGGCGAGGTGTCCCGACCACCCCATTGCACACTGCACCACTCTCCTCTCCCACCTTCTTTCTCTGCTTTATTTGACTCAAGAGCAGTGACATACAATTCTTATTTATTTACTTGTTTAAATATTGTCTCTGCAACAGAGGCTTTGCTCTATGGGAACATGAGCTTGTGTCTGTTCCACAGCACCCAGAATGTGCCTGGCAGTTTGTAGGAGTTCCATGAACATTTGTTGGCTATTAAATTTAAAAAGCCTGGGACCCTGGTTCCCTCCACTATCCGGTGATCATGTCCCTTCCTCTGAGGTGCCATCGCAGGTTGGCAGCCCTAACCGAGGAGGAAACACCTTTGGTAGGAATAGGGCAGACATGGAACTCCATTCATGGGCTAGAGAAGGGGCAGCAGGGGCTGCAAGAAGGACCTGGAGGACAGGGTCAACAAGGCAAAACTGAGTTTGCAGTCTGGGTTATCAAAAGAAACAGTTGGTGAGGGGCTCTCACCTTCCTCCCTGAGCCATTCTTTTCACCAAGGCCACTCCCACTCTCTCTTTTCCCTCCTTCCCTTTTTTGTAGTCATATGACTTCTGAAAGTCAGTCCATAACAAATCTCATTCCAGGAACCACAATTCCAAGCGTGGAAGCCAGTCAGTCAATCCTGAAACACTCCGACTTCTGAATTTCCACTAATTCCTCAACTCCATACTTTCCAAACCCCTATCTATATAAGCTCAACTTCTGTTTTGTTTAAAGAGATGCCCAGCTCTGCCTTGCTGAACAAACAATAAATTCAGCTTCAAATATTGTTTCAGAGATTCAGTCGTGGCCTCTTTCATTGACATAGGAGTAAATGAATTAATACAGACGAAGACCTAAAACAATGCCTGGTGTGTAGCGGGCACTCAATAAATGTTAGAAATATTAGCTAACTCAGTAAGTGTAAGTTAATAGTAGTAGGCAGTCAAGACTATTTATTTATTTTTTATTTTTTATTTTCGCGGTATGCGGGCCTATCACTGCTGCTCCCCCGCGCCCCGCGCCACGGAGCACAGGCTCCAGACGCGCAGGCCCAGCGGCCATGGCTCACGGGCCCAGCCACTCCACGGCATGTGGGATCCTCCCGGACCAAGGCACGAACCTGCACCACCCGCACCGGCAGGCGGACTCCCAACCACTGCGCCACCAGGGAAGCCCAAGACTATTTATTAAATACATAAACAAACAGGAGTAAATTACATGTGACAGTAAGCAATGACAGTAGAAAGGGAGATCTCAGAGTAATCAGATGCCCAGGGTAATGAACTCTAAAGTGGCTGGTGAGTTATCCCCTGGAAGAATGGAAAGACGAAGGCTCAGTGGGAAGGGATTGTCCTTATGAAGAGAGTTGAACTTCTGGCAACAGCCAAGCAGTTCAGCCCACATGGGGTGGGCAGCTGTCCAGACTTCCCACCTTGTCACTTTCCACCTTGCACCGTGGTTATCTGTGTAGAGGTTTTATTTCTTACACCAGATTGTAAACGCCTACAGAAGGGATCCATGCCTCAATTTTCCGGACATTCCAGAAAACCGTTCAGCCGTTGGCATTCGTAGGCACTCAGCAACTCTCTGAGGACTGACTGGCTGAATGTATTGTTATCCTGGAGGTCACCTTATCTAACCCTTTCATACAGTCCCCCAAACCCCCTCCCCAACCCAGTGGCTGATACAACAGGAGAGCTAAGTTCTAGTCTCTCAGGTTCTTTGATCCTGGAATAATACATCCTCTCTGTGCTTCAGTTTCCTCATCTATAAAATAGGAGATAACCCGAGGAAAGTGCTGGGCTGGCTGCACTCTCACTTATGCTAACAGTACTGAAATATACTAACATTGCAGGTGGGTTTAGGGACCACTGTTCTGGTTGACCTCTAAGATGCTTCCAGAATCTTAACATCTTCGTTTGCCTGGCTTCCCTCTTATCCTTTAATAATTATGTTTTCATTTCAACAAACGTGTTATTCACCTACCATGTACCACACAGCAGGTGGGGGCTAAAGACAGGAATTGGATCATCTCCTTGAGGATCTCAAAGTCTCTTTGGGGAGTTAGGTGCTGAAATTTTACAAGAATAAAAGACATGTGGGGTAGGCTCTGTTCTAAAAATTTTATAGATTTAGCAAACTTAGTTGTCACAAAATTTCCAGTTAGTTACTCAGTTTTATAGTTGAGGAAGCTGAGACACAGAGGGTTTAATTGGCTTGCCCAGGGTCACAGAGCTGGTAAGTAGTGAAACTGGGGTAAATAATATAATATATTGAAGTTCTACAAAGGAGCAATGAGATACTGCTCTATGGGCATCTACAGTTTGCAAGGCAGTGTTAGGGAGTTAGTAATGACAGCAAGATGAATTAGACTCGGTGCCTGTCCTCAGTAACTGAGAGCCTCAGAGTTTGAATAATGCAATAGAAGATAAAGGGTGTCAAGTGCCATGAGAAGGATACCAATAAAATGTTTTGAATGTAAACAATGTAGACATTTAGGGTTAAGGCTTAGGGTTATAGGAGAAGTTGAGGTATCAGAGAAGGCTTCTGAACTGGAAGACTTGTCTTCTCTTTAAATATCTGCAGTAAGAAA